TTGCATCCATTCCACTGACAGGGTGGATAATGAGCGGTGATTTGTTGCTGCCATTGTCATTCATGTCCGGGTTAAAAAAGGGAAAAATGGCCTCTCTGAAATGGAAATATTTAAATGAATAGATGTGTGTCTTGGCCTCTGCATCGTAAAAAGAAACTCTCCCGTTCTCGTAATCTAAAAACACCCCGATGATCCGTGGATTCTGAGAGAGGCAGAGCAGCTCTGCCTGGGCGGCGCATGCCCTGTACTCACTACCATTCCTCAAACACATGGTCCAGTAACCTTCATCTGGGCTCAGTGTGACCACACCTTTCCTGTTGATGGACTCTCGAGCTACACCCAAGTCCCACGCTGTCTTATCTCCCGTGTCGACCTCCCAATAATTTCTGCCAGTGACAAAACCCTGCAAAGCAAGACATCGTCAGGTAATTCTGAATGCTGAGTTAAGAAAAAGGACTTCCAAGTCCCTGAAGAAATACATAGAAAATATGTCTCTATTTACACTGAGAGCAAGGACACATGGCGCTGTATTAAACCGCTCCGGTATGTCAGGCAAGTTTTGTTCAATCTCTCCATCGTGTACTTGTTTGCCATTCTCTGACAGAACTAGCCAGGGGTTGGCTGTCCTTGGGTCCAGACAGACATCAGCTGGTAGACAAAAAGAGTTTACAGAATTTTCATCATCTTTTCATTCTAAAAATGAAAATCGATAAGCCACAAGTTGTTTTCTTTTGGTTTATTGGCCTGTTCTGCAACGTGTTATGTTTTGATTTTCTTTTTAAAAAAGAGAACATAAGATCATATGACATCACTTAAATATCCAGATAGATGTGAGAGACAACTTAACTGTACCTGCATATTTCTTGATCTTGTCATGCTCTGGACAACATAACAAGAACACATGATCAAAATCAAACTCACAAAGTTGATTTGTATTATGTCATATTAATGAAAAGTCTTCTGCACCATTTTTTGAAAGCTTCTTCAGTTCTGTTTGCAGCTGCTGTTGTATTTCAGCCACTGTTTCCCTTAAAGCTCCCAAACAGGTATCAGAATAGACAAAGAAGTCTGAGCAGGCTTTAGGAGATGGAGCAGAATACACTGCAGGAAACCTCTGACATAAAGACGAGAAATATGAGAATCATAGTTATCATCCACTGACTTGCAAACTCTAAAACTGGTTGTTTTTCAAATATGAAAACAAATTGTTGTCCATTTTGTTCAGTTATCTCCTGACCTGCACAACATACAGGTGGTCCTCCGCTTGGTAAAGCTGCTCCATCTCCCTTCTCCTCTTCTGAAGCTCGATGATTTCCAGCTCCAATTCTGCAATGAGCCTCTCAGCCCTCTGCTCTGCTGCAGCCTGTTTTCTCTGGATCATCTCTGCTAGCTCCACTTGACTCCTCTTAATGATATCCAATAAAGCAGAGAAAACCTCCACACTTTCCTCTGTGTCCCTTTGTGAGTTTTCATGTGGTTAACAATTAAAGAAAAATTAAGGCCTGTCATTTAAAAATGTTTGCAGAGGTTGTTGCCATAGGAGCTCACATAAACTCACTTTGCTAAGTTCAACGTTATGTTTAATCTCCTCTATTTTCTGCAGTCTGTCACGGATCATCTGCTGAACATCCATCTCAGTCCGTTTTATCTTGGCCTGAATGCAAGCAAAGAAAAAAAAAAAACGCAAAAATCATAAAAGGATCCAAATAGCTGTAATGTGATGAATTAAATACAGATGATTTTGGCTCTCACCTTCATGTCCTGGCTCTGTTGCTCCACTGGGACTGTGTCATGATACTGGTGGTTTGTTTCAGTGCACAGAACGCAAACGCACCTCTGGTCACTTCTGCAGAAAAACTCCAAAAGCCTTTGGTGCTGCTTACACATCCTGCTCTGCAGCATTGCCACGGGTTCCATCAGCTTGTGAAACTTTAGGTTGGAAGCTCTAAGATGAGGCTCCAGGTGAACCTCACAGTATGAGGTCAAGCACACAAGGCAGGATGCCACAGCCTTCATTGGCTTTCCCACACAAACATTGCAGTGTATATTTTTTTCCTCCACTGATGTCACACCATTCTGCCTCTTAGCTCGAATCTGGTCTGACATTTCTTTGGCAAAGGAATTGTCACAGAGCTCTGGCCGCCCCTCAAACTCTGTTTGACATTTCGGACAATTGATGGCAAAGTTGTGGTCCCAGTGTGATGTGATGCACATGAGGCAGAAGCTGTGGCCGCATGGGATGGAGACAGGTTCAGAGAAAACATCCTGACAGATGCTGCACTGAAACTGTACCTCTGAGAGAAGAACACTGGGGAAAGCCATGTCTTCAGCACCACAGGAAGAACTTTAAAAGAAAGATTTTCACTGTTATTTGCAGAGTAGATAAAAAAAATTTCTGATGAGGCTACCGTGATCAGTAGACAGATCAGCTGAAGGGTGAGATACAGCTCTGAGGTCCAGGCCATTTATCTTTAGCATGCCATATTTTCAGCAAATAACTTAACTAACTACTTATGTAATTAGCTTGTTGCTACAAAGATGCAAAGTTACGCCCGGCCGTTTTCACAGATGTAAATAAGAATAAATTGTCCATCCTTGCGACAAGCTACTTGTAACAAAGATCCTGGAGAACATATTCCAAAGTAACTATTTCCAATCCTTTGTAGTGGTAAAAATAGCGGAAAGCCTCTTGAGAGCTAAGGCAGTTTCTACTTAAGACTATTTTGAAGATAATAAGGAAGTCAAGCTCCTTTGACAAAAATCTTAATATAAGAGGGTTTAGTATCACTTTTATACATAACAGTAAAATATTACCTAATATACTAAAGAGTCCTCAAAGAAATGACCTTTTCTCCCTAATGTAGGTGGTGTAAACCCTTCAATTACAGTCTTAGCTGATCATTTAGGAAACAATTCAAAAGTTTCCCCTGACCAAAGTCCAGCTGCATTACTCAGCCTCTCACGCTCTGTCAGTTCAACTTGAGGCAGAGCTGCTTCCTCTTTTCCTTCTTTCCACGTCCTTTAATGATAGTGTACAAAAACACAGGAATTCCCCCACGTTGAAATAGTGGTTCAAGGTTTTTTACATTTGTCCCACTTTAAAGTACTTTGTAACAGCACACTGCAGACACATCTGTGTAATTATTATTTTGCTCAATCCAAATAATAAAACATAGCATTCTTTAGTTCAGTCTCAGGCCTACCTTTTCCTGAATGCGATAGATGACGTTTGAGGGAGCAAAGGCAAATACTGGCATTGTGGCTGTGAAGCCAAAGTCCTCCCTTTGAGCTAGTACCACTCCCTCTGGGACTCTTTTTGCATGTGGTTCCAGAGTGGGAGGAGTAAAGTATGGATCAGGTGCAATACAGGATTTTCTGTATGCCTTTGTGCTCTATTTGTATCGTACCTGTGGTGATCTGAGCAACATGTAAGAAGCTATTCACTTTGGCTCCTTCAGACATATAAAATAACTGAAAACAACCTGATACGGAGGAAAAGAAAGCTTAACACAGCATTACCTGAATTTGAAGATTTAACTTTATTGGAGAATAATTTGTTTTACTGATACAGTTAAGTATATAGAAAGTTGTATGATTACATTCAAATCTCTGACTTTAAAAATGTGCCATCATTAGTTTTTGTTCTCATCA